AGAGAGAGAGAGAGAGAGAGAGAGAGAGAGAGAGAGAGAGAGATCTAGCTTACATTTGATCTAATTCAGCTGCATCACTCTTCCAAGCGAGAGAGCTCTACAACCCACTTAATCCAGGTAATACAGTTCCCTGAAAAATTCAGTTTATCCCTTGTTAGGCAGTTAAGCACTCATTACATGGAAAAGCTATAATTTTCCTAATGGAGACCTTAAATGTAACTTGAAATTAAGTAACAGCATGGGAGTTTTTGATTTAAATAAGTAGAGTTTAGTGTACCTGAATATTAATGTAATATTCTCTCCCAAAGGAAAATAATTTTTGGAAAATAATTTTCTGAATTTTATTGTACTGCAAGGAAAATCAGAGTACAAGAACATACAATAGCAGATAATCTTGAGAATAAGTATTTTAACTTGAAATAAATTCTTCCTGCATATAACCTTAGCTATTGATTGTCCATTCTGCAATGTGTTTCGGTTCGTGCCTCCAATTCTGTCTGTATTTGATTTCATAAACACATTTTCTCCAATAATCTCCTTTTATTTTTCCTTTGCAATGAAATAGAAATGGTAACTGTTTAAAGAGTGAAAATTTAGATTGAGTCCGAGGTAATGATTTTCCTTCCCATAGAGAAAACTGGATGCCTGTACTGATTTTAAAATGTTTTACCACCAATATTTCAGTTTAAAAATGTTCAGAATATGTTTGGCTGATTTAGAAAACTAATATTTGATTGAAAAGGAAAAGTGCTTGGGATTTAACTAAATGTTTAAGGTCAAATATGAAGAGGTTATAAAGCATACAAACCACGGTTGCTTAAATTAGGAGATCTTAGGGGTGCACATAAAATGAGGCATTACTTAGAGGACAAAGAAAAGCCTTCCTATGACTAACAGCATTGAGGATACCATCCAAGGCGTCGAAGGTATTAGCACACGCAGAAACAGGCTAGTACGGAAATGGTGTAAACTGATCAGGACTAAGTAGAAAGAAGTATTATATAGCAGAAACAGCAGCTGGGTAAACATTTTGAACTCTGGATTCAACATGTTTCTGAGTTCTGCTTCTACCATCCAATAAATGTCTAAGCTTGAAATTTTCTCTTAGGGTATTTCATTTTCTATTACAAAATACTAGATTTTTGTAGGGTTACTGTATGGTTTACACATTAAACATTCAATAAATGATAGTGATAGTTATTTTTATGTACTATTGCTAAAGCAACTATTAAAAAAACAACAGATACTCTCTTTCCCATCTTTTAGCAGTATTTGGAGAGAGAGAAGACTAATGAGAATTGCTTTCCAGGGGCCAGGCTTTCATGTAAAGGAGCTGTTACTCATTAAGATAGGTGGTCAGTAGCAGCAAGTTGCTTTTCATGACCTCCAAGGAGCTGTCTGCGCCTTAGGGAGCGAAGGATGCAGGTTTGCTGTGTGCACCACCTGCAAAGAAAGCGGCCTCGAGGGGAGGTGCTCTGGATGTACAGGAAGAATTTCCAAGGGAAGGGAGAGAGGCTGAGTGCTACTGGACTCTTTGGTGTCACTTACCGTTCCATTCTGAACACCTGGCAGGGGCTTCCTCGAGGGGCCACATACGGTGGAGACAACTCCAGAACTCCTGTGTTCGTTAGGGGCTGCCACTGCAATGCAGCCTGAGTTAGTGAGAAATAGAGAAAGTTTTTGGAAACCTACACAAGTTATCCCTGTGCTTTGGCAACGAAAGACACAATGAAATGATTCCTTTAATAGATTAGCAGTGTCTGTTACAGATGAGAAAGAACAGAGAGATGATAGCAAGAAAGGTGTTTTTTGTACCCCAGGACAGGATCAGTCTTAGCATACAAATGTTTCTAGAGACATTCGCCTTTGAGTCTAATGACTGAAACCATCTACTTGCTTGAAATGTAGTTGCATGCTCTAGAAATGGTGCTTTTCCAGAACAGAATGCTGAGTTTGCAGGCAAACAGATATGAAATCAATAAAAGCAAATGTTCCTAACAAGTGAACCTGTCCAGCAGTGGAACATGTTTCCTCTAGACTTGCTTACTTGGCAATATTTTTTTCTGTAATGAAGGAAACTTCTGAAGTAGATGAAATTAAAGTTTTTAATCTAATTTTGTTGTGTACCAGGAATCAACCTCAAGACCTCACGCTTCCCAGGCAGGTGCTGTGCCACTGAGTAGTATCCCCAGCTCTTTTAATCTGATTTTAAATGTAATAATATCATACGTTTCATGAGTACCTGGCATAGCAATATTACACAAGAAATAAACATGTTAAATAAAAATTCTTCCTTCATAAAATCAGAAAAAAATATGGAATTTAGGGTAACTCTAACCAAGAAAAATTTTGTGATGAGCTATTAACAAATATTCTTCAAATGTAAAATCAAGATTTCATGTGTATTTGAGCATAAAATATACTAAAGTAATACTGTGAAGGGGAAAATAATGCATCATAAAACTTTAAGAAATAATTTATTAAATATGGCAAGATGTTTGAGACACAGCTTATAGAGCTAATACCTTAATGTCGTAGAATGTGAACGACGAGCCCCCCGTATGTCATCCACCACATTTGGAAACTCGGATTTATTCCACTGTTAAAGGCCCTTTTATTCAACTCAACTGTTCAGACAGAGATTCTCCCCAGGAGCATCTCAGCTACTTAATTGTAGGAGGTAAGACACGTGACTTCAAATACATCACTTCTGTGTTATTTTACAGGACATTCATGAATTTTTTGTAACAGTTGTAAACATATGAACTATATTTTTTTCAAAAAAAGTAAAATCATAAAACAATGCCTAATGCAGTTTTATTTCTGTACCTCATCATCCTCAGGAAATACAAATAATCAATTCACACTTCAGAGACTGGGTGTTGATCCCCCTTCTCTGGCCACCAGGCAGGATTTCCAGTATGATATATTTCAAGGAATTCAGGCCCCTATGACTTTCCAGTTACTTATTGAAGTCACTGATGAATTAGGTGGGAGTGAAGCTGGTCAGCTGTCAGCCACTTCTACGGTCATTATTCATGTGCTTCCCTGGACCATGACACAGCCAACTTCTTCCACAAAAACAGCTTCGACGACGGTAAGTACTTGATGATTTACTATAACTCTAAAGTAATATGAATTAGTCATAAATGCACAAAACACTTGGGGCCTCTTACAGAAGTTATCTATGTTTTTGCAATGAAACATATCAATGACAGAGTTACTTTAACACAAATGAATTTTCACCATCAAAATAAGGGTAAGTTACTGTGGTTATTAGTCATTAATTTTGAGTCATGGTAAATATATCAATATTAATTTTGGAGGCCTTTTGGTCAATAAAATTCAACAAAATTCTAAGTAATTCTGTTGATTCTTATTATTGTATATTTTATTTAAAATAAGATGAAGATTTTATTATGGGCATAGCACCATATTAGGGTTATAAAAACATTTGGAACCATGCTTTCTTCAATGGCATACAGTCTCACTAGAAGACAAAATATGTACTTTGTCTTGGTTAGTTCATGCTGCTGTAACAAACGTACCATGGTCTGACTGACTGACAAAATAGACAGTTATTGCGCTCAGTCTGGGAGCTGTGAGGACAACATGAATGCAGTAATTGATTCAGTACCTGGAAAGAATCTGTTTCCAGGTTCTTAGCTATCCATCATCTCAGTCTGTCTTCTCATGACAGAGGGCTAGCGAGCTCTCTTGGCTCTCTTTTGCGAGGATGCTAATCGCATGTTACCAGGGTTCTGCGCTCCTGGCATAACCACATCACTGAGGCTCCGCCTCCTAATAATGCTGCATTGTGAGTTAAGATTTGCAAACACTCATTTCCTAAGACATCAGAACAATTTAAGTAATTGCTGCCCAGTACCAAATGGCAGCAGAACTGTTACTTAACTTTGGAAAAATAAAGTTTACTTGAGAGACCATAACTCCCCCAAAACTAGAAGAGGAAAGAACGGGGTTTTGAAAGAACAGATACACACTTTGTTTATGTGAGGAGGAGAAACTCTTTAGAGAACAGGCAGTGAGTTAGCCTGGGAAGATCATAAAGCTCTTTAAGGGACACTGAGAAAGCGGTGGAACAAGGGGCTGATTCGTGCCAGGAAAAAGAAGGCTTGGGATATAGCTCAATGGGAGAGAAAAAGAAGGCTCATTATAGACATGTAAAATGTTAGAAAAGGAGCATCTTGAATGTATGCGTGAGACGTTTAGACACTGCTGAAGACAAGAAGTTAGAGCCTTTATACAACAGAGAAGACCAGTCATGATGCTTGGTAAAGTTTACTGATATTCAAGGAGATGGTCTTGGTGGTGTAGAATTGCTTTGTGTATTGTGGAGTTGAAGGAGCCTCTTAGGTGCCCATTTCCATCTCCTTACTAACACTAGTATGATGCTCCCTCAGTAACTATGCTGATCTAAACATACTTGAGTTAAAACAGTAACAGAAAGTTCCTGCCATTGCTTGACTTGACAGTCATGAAATTTTGTGCGGAGTACACAAAATCATTAAAATATGAACTAGAATATTCTTGATGTAAAGAAAATAAACTACGTTAAGATGGTGTAAAACTGGGCTGTACCTAGGAGATGCAAATTGAAATTCTTTCCTGGAAAACTGGTAATATCCTAGACTTTCATTACTTATTTCTAACAATTCCGGAGCCCAGTGGATATAACCCATTATTAGATATTAGCAGGTACATAATGAAATTACATATTATCAAGTAACAAAAGAACCATAAGAAGAAGGTGCAAAACTACAGCAACTGTAGCAAATACATTATCAAACACAAACTGTAATATATTTATGCTTATAAAGTTTAAGAGATATAAACCAAGTTTGAAGTCATGTTAGGGTGTTGCAGACTATAAAGGTAGACTATAATATTGAAAAACGTGTCAAGTATATCTGGGATTTAAAGACACAATAACCAAAGTCACAACTTGATACTTAGACTTAAGGGCTAATTGAAAAGAGCTGAAGAGAATTAAGAACTGAAGATACATCAGAAGATTCTGTTCAGAATAAGTTCTAGAGAGATGAAAGGTATGGAAAACAATGAGAGAGGGGAAACACAAAAAGTAAAATGAGAAGATATAGTTTATTTTAATTTGAGAGAAAAAAGATAGAGGCACTGCCCTCTTTTCAAAACCAAAGAAAGATAAGCCATGGACAGAGGGAGTCCCTCAATTCCACTGAGGGAAAAGTAATCTAAATTTAAATACACATAGAAGAGCTGCTTTAAATCCAAATATAGCAAGAAATATTAAAATCTGTCCAAAAATCCCTTCAATTGCCAGTATATATAGCAGCAGACTTTATAATGGAGACGATGATCCACAAAAATGGAAATGTTCAAGTTGTTGTAAGAAAGTAAGTGCCAACCTAAAATTTTCTACTGAAAAAAGATCAATCTAAAATCTCTTGTTTGGGCTGTGTCTCAGTTTTCACGTGGTATTTTCATTCATTCCAGAATATTTCCTATTTTCTTAACTTCATAAGATATGGGCAATTTCCTAGGTATTTGACCTGACTTTCGATTTTTGTGATTAGAGATAACACTCTGGAAAATCATGACCTTGTGCTTGCCAGGCAAGCATTGTGCCACTGAGCCATATCCTCAGCCACTCTGCAGACTTCAGTCCACTGATAGCTACTCAGACTTGCTGTAAGCTCACTATATATTCTAATGATGTAAATGTTCATGTGCAACTCTATGGTTTGTCAGAAGTGTCAATCAAAGCCATGACAAAATAAAGAGTCAAGAAGTTGTATCGGACAATAGATGTTCATGTAGACAAAGGAGGAACAATTCTCTGTCTCAACCAACTCTTTGTTCAGTATAGACTCAATGAAAACAAATAAATAAAAAATAAACTTTATAAAGAATATGAGATTGGGCTGCTTCCATGATTTAGCTATTACAAATTGTGCCGCCATAAATATGGGTGTACATTTATCGCTATGATATGATGTTTTCAGATATTTTGGGAAAATACCTAGAAGGGGAATAGCTGAGTTAAATGGGACCTCTACATCTAGTTTGCTGAGGAATCTCCAAACAACCCAAATGTCCATCCACTGAGGCTTGGATAAAATAATTGTGGCATTTTTATATAATGGAATATTACTCAGCTATAAGGAAAGATAAACTTGAGGCTTTTCTAGGTAAATGGTCACAACTAGAGACCACACTTATAAGTGAAATAAATCAGACCTGCATGTGTCAGCAATGTATTGTCTCACTAGTATAAGAACCTGAAAGAGTGAATAAAAATTAGGAGGTATGACAGACATTGTGAAATGAAAAGAAAATGTTCAAAAGTAAAGAGCAACTGGGATGAGGGATAAGAGAAAAGAGAGAAGGGGGAAATTATATATATGTATATATACACACACACAGGATAGCTAACATAGTTGTACTACTGACTTCTATCACTTTACTGAAAGGAACAGTTAATGATTAATTATTTGATTAACCTTGCATGTCTATATGTGTTTTCCTGAGTAACCACTTTGAAGGTATCAATATATAATACAACAACCATAATTTCCTGTCACCTTGTCTGTAATTCAGTATTGCTCATATTGTTCTTGTGCTATTTTGTAAATGAGTGTCTGTTTGCTAATATGTTTTCATTCTTTTATTTTTAAAATAAAAAATAGAAAGAATATGAGAGACTACTTATGAATTTTGGGATAATAATTTGGGATCAGGAAACCTTTCTTAAGTGAAATGACCAAAAATCAAAACAAAGAGCAAAAAGCTAGCCACAAGGAAATTTTTGAGAAACTTCAATATGTTGTAATGAAGAACATCTTATTTAAGGATGGAGTGGTAGGATGTCTGACCGCTTTTGCTTCACAAAAATCTGTGGTGAGAAAAGTAAAAGTCAAATTTAAACAAAACTGGGTATATACTAGCAAGACACTCTGACAGGGTGACGGCTGCCCCCTAAGTTATTTTATTTTTTATGTTGAAGGTTATGTATTCAGTATCACAACAAAAGTTGTTCAACACCTTTCAGAATTAATCTGAGAAGGCTTAAGTTCTTTGTTCAACTATTAGAGTTCAAGGTGGTAAATTGATCCTCAAATAGTCTTCATATTACATTCTCGTTACTCATTAAAATTTATCTGCCATTACATTTTATAGTGCTAGATGCTATAACTTATAATTATAAGCATGAAGATTCTTCTGGTCATCCGTAAATTAATCCTCAGTCCCTCCTCACCCAAAGGTGTGATAATGGAACTTTCAAATGCCACAGGTTTCCAAATCACTTCAGATGGCAGGTAGGTATTGCCTGAGACGCATTTCTGTTGTTGGTTATGGCGTAAGTTGCCATAGTAGCATCCAGAGAATTAAATTATATTGTTTTTTATTTCTGGCTCAACATGAACTTCACCTCACTATTCTAATTCAGTTTTCTCTGCTGGATTTTACTCCTTTGGGAGAGATTATTTTAGCCTGCACTGCTATGGAAAAAAATAGCATGTTAACACACAGATCTCCACCATCCAAATTCCTGATTAAGAAAGCAAAATATAGCAAGGAAGACAGCACTGTAATAAAATATAATAGACAAAATAAATTCTGCATCAAGATGTAAAGGGAGCTTTAAATTTGTAGTTGAGCTAAGTGATACTGTAATTACACACTCTCTCTGGCAGAGTGCATTAAGCTTGGTGAAGGAGGCGAACCGATTAATGCTGTCTGGAAATGATTACTAATCTGCAACTTATGACTCTATTCCAAAGGAAAAAATGCTGTGCTCCCTCAGTCGTTTGAGATTTCATATTTGTTTGTGTACTTACATAATACGTACCTCTCTGCAGGGAGATTATATGTGCCTCTCTTTACAAAAAGTATTACAAAACCAAAAGCAACGTTAGGAATTCTATAGATTCATTTGTCCATTGGGCAAGAAGGAAAGCTGATACCCAATTAGATATATACTGTACAAGGCATACTTTACTAGAGATGTGATAAAAAATATGGTCAGTGTTTAAATTTTAAAGGATTTATTACAGTGAAAGACATATTGCCATTAATTCTCCTCAAATATTTCCCTTT